GGAATAAACACAATCACACGTTACCACACAAAAGCCAGTGATGAAAGTTATAACCATTCAAATTTCTGAGGTTACATGATCATCTCCAGTGATGATTGTCAGGAAGAAAGATGGCAGTAACGGGTTTTGTGATGAGTTATGCAGAGTAAATGGCCTGATGCACATTGCTGCCTTTCCATTACATGTCTGAAGAGAGGCTACAACAAAATAGTCAAAGAGAGGTCTTTCAAGCCTGAAGACTAAGTGTGGTTGTGGTATGTGCCAGCATCACAAAAGTAATTTGAATTCGCATGGAGGAAGATAAGAGAACTGCTATAAAGCACCTCAGCTCAGCTGACAAGTCATAACAAGTGTAAACTTGGTGTAACAATGTTTTATTTCATTATGATGGACTATTTTTAAACTTACTGATTGAGATATTACCAAACTACCCGATTTTTCGAATAGCACCTAAATACTTTCCAGCAGAAGGCCAGTTAAATGCTTGAAAATGCAAACTGTGCAGGAATGCTAGAGGTAAGAAGTAATATTTTGATTCAAGGTGTAGCTATTCTCCGCTGAGCTTAAAATGCAGCTAAACAAAATAGCAAAGAACAAGAGATACTGGTATTTGATGAATTTCAATGGTCTGAGTAACTTAAACACTTGTTTGGATACATACATGCATTGAGATTTACTCTCCCATTTCTTTCTTGCTGGGCCTAGGCTCTATTATTATAACATCCAGATGGCAGTGGAGGGAATGTGGCAGGGTTACAGGATAGCTGTAGACTATCTTCACAGCCATGGCAACCATGGAGATCACAGCTAGGTTAGGTCAAGCTCAACACCTAAGAATAACTGAATCTACCGAGCTGTCTGTAGGTAGTGGGGGTCATATTATATACAGAGGTTAATTATGAACATATACAAGCCTGTCGACACACTTTATTTCCTGACAGGACTTTCAAAGATGAAGTATTTGGGTAAATGGCCCAATACAACTTTAACTCATATCCTTGACCAAGATCATCTGACCAACCAAAATTCTTCTGACCCAACATTCTGAATTCTTATATTTCCTATGTAATATCAAATTCTTAAATATTGTCATATATATATATATATACTCTGAAATGATGAAGAAATGTGGAAGAAGCTAGTGATGAGACTTTTCTCTTTGATTTTAGTGATGCTGTGGAGTTTCTGGCACTGTACTTCATGCCTGAGGGTTAACCTTGCATTTATGTCACTAGAGCTGATGGATTAGACACATTGCTTGACGATGTATGAAACCTGCAGGGTCTGTAGGCTATGATACTAGGATTAGCTATCTGGAGTCTGCAGCTTTCTAAACTGATGCCAGCCATCTCACCAGTGGGTGTAACAATGATGTCCATTGCAACAGCCATCCATTATGTCATCTTTATGCTAGATTCTGGGAGTTAATGACCAGACCAAGATAAAAATTGTAAGTCCAAAGACATAGAATAAGAGTGGGAGAAGAACCTAATGTGCCCCATCTGAGGATGATTTTCCAGCAGAATAAGCTTGCAATGTATGTGTACGCACATTTGGAAAGACCACCTCTTTACTCATTCCAGTAGGACCTTTTCAGAACTGTAAGATCTGTGCTCAAAGAAGTAATCAGGGCATTTCTTGGATCTGGCTCCATCAACACCATATACCTCAGGGGCACCTATCCAAGTGGCAGTCACCATTATAGTTACAACAGCAACGGTTCCAACAGCAGTTATAGCACCAACCACTGCCACTAAGTGTATTAGGGGATTCTCCTCAACATTATTGGTCGGCAGTCTCTGTAATGCCAATAAAGGCAGAGAAGACTGAATTCCCCGAAAGCCCTCAACTAAGATAAAGGAGCAGCAAACACTGAAACATTTAGTGCTTGTAAAGCCTCACTATAATGAACAGACAGCCAGGTAAAATGAGGCCTGGACATTCAATAATCATGAAGGCCATTTATTAAAGCTTGTAGATCTGTAAACACAGTTTAAAAGGGAAGTACATCGTCTTCATGATGGCCTGGTGGCTCTTGTGAGGAGAGCCAGGGAGATCATTGAACAGACCACCATAACACACCAATGGTTTTCTGCTGCATTAAAGGATTTGCTGTCAGGGTTTCTTTAGGTTAGTAACTCCAACTAATCTCTCAACATGTGTACAATATGTGATGAATTGTATGTAGGTATTTATGTAGTTTATTTGTATTTTAATGTATCGTTGTACAATGCATGTATGTTTAGGATTAAAGTTTGGGTTGCATAGTGTATATATGTATTTCAGTTGCTTAAGTATAGTGTAGGAATTTCGATAGTGAGGTGTAAAGTTCTGTATTAAAGATACCAGTGTATGTATACGTAGGTAGTTTCTGTAGAAAGTATTAGCTGTATTTGATCAGTGTTCTTAGGCTTAGTTTATTATTTTACATGTTTTGGAATTTTAAAAATGGCATTATTCTGTACTTTTGTTAAGAGACTGTTTTTTACTATTTTTGTGTTTTATCCTTATATAATGGTCTTATTTTATGTAATGTCTTTTCTCTGTAGAAGAGCATTTTTGTATAAATGTTTTCATCATTAAAGAGTTTGAGTTACTGATGTTTTTCTAAGTTAAAGTTATGTAATCACTGTTAAAGGATTTTGTTTTTGTTTGTACATTTACATGTTATGGAGTACAGTGTTCTAGTTACCCCTTTTAAAGAGTTTTATATAATGTTTGATATTTTTTACTGAAGGATGCTTTGTTATTTGTTTTGTTGTTAGATAGAGTGTAATTTTCGACTACCCCCTCTAAAAAGAGTAAATTGGCTGTGTACCAATATTTCACTTGATTTGATTTTATTAAATTGTTTGTCTTCTATTTCCATTAAATATTATTGGGCAATGGTTTTAATGGAGTGAGGTGAGTTATATGTTTTACGAGTGGTACACATTAGAGTGAGGTAAGTTATATGTTTTATGGGTGATACACATTAGAGTGAGGTAAGTTATATGTTTCACGAGTGGTACACATTAGAGTGATGTAAGTTATATGTTTTATGGGTGATACACATAAGAGTGAGGTAAGTTATATGTTTTATGAGTGGTACACATTGGAGTGAGGTAAGTTATATGTTTTATGAGTGGTACACATTAGAGTGAGGTAAGTTATATGTTTTATGGGTGATACACATTTAAAGTAGGTTTTTTTTGCATTTTTGTACTTCCAGGATTAGGATCAGCCTGGTAGATCTGGAGGTAAAGGGGAGAGAAGGTTAGGTACAAGATGGTATCATGTGTTTTCTACCCATTAATTAAGATGTTTTTATTATTATTGTGTTTTTCAGAATTACCAGTTTGGAGGCAGAAAGCCACTCAAGTAGACACTTCAACATTCCTTATTTTTGTGCACAACAATGGGAGCTCATTAAATGGTAATTAACCAAGTTTCTTGCAGTGAAGGTAGGTTCAGAAATAAACAGCTGTCTTATCTGTCGGCCAATTGGATATTAATCAGGAGCTGTCACAACCGAGCATTAAATTTACAGTGGACAATAATCATGTGTGAAGTGCTTTCATGTGTAAACCTGGCTTTGTTAGTGCTAATATATTTTGCACTTAAAGCCAGATTTGCCTCTGTAAGATACAATTTAGTAGAATTTTAATAAGATTAAAACTCCCAACTCTTAATTTTTTTCTATAAAGTCTACTTTTGTGGCTTTTACTATAACGTTTAACAAACATCTTTTACCAGTGTTACACGCCACAATAACACACTTGCCTATATTTTTTATTATGTTTGTCTGTTTGTTATTGTAAATAAAGATTGTTTTCACTGCGCACCTTTCAGATTCGACTCCTTCTTCCCTACTACCTCGATTAGTGATCAGAGAAACACACGGTCACATACACTATAGTCCAGTATTCTCTGAACCTGGCCTAACTGTCTGATGTACGAGAAACACACGGTCACATACTCTATAGTCCAGTATTCTCTGAACCTGGCCTAACTGTCTGATGTACGAGAAAATCATGTGATAGGGAATACCGCATTCATATAAGTGCGGAGACTATGGCTTCCTATATTGGTGTAACTAAATGCCATTTTAATCACACATGAACATATCTGAATATTGATCGAAACAAGTTGAAAATCAACAGTCCTTCTTACTTCGTAATAACATACAGGACATTCGATCAGTATATTAAACGCTAGAATTCTTACTAGTACTGAGTCTGAAACCGAACTTTTAATAAAGAAAATCTTATCAATTAAAAAATTCTTGTCTCTCTCAACACCAATTTAAACTTGTTTTAATTTTATTTCTTTTATTTGTATTTAGCTTTGTCCATTTGTTATTGTATTAATGTTTGTTCTCGTTTGTGTAGATGGTGGAATCCTTTATATTCCCAAACATTTAATAAACATGCTTTATACTCTTAAGTTATTATTTTGTTTTGTGGTAAAATATTAAATATTGTTATTTGTTTTGGATCCGGAAGCACTATCAAACAAACAAACTTAGATTTTTTATTTTAATAATTACAGAAAAGGGAAGTATTAAGAAATTATTTTACTAAGAACATTCTCTGATGGAAAACATTTGTGTGCTTTTGAAGTGCAATACGATGGATGACATAAGTAACCTAGTTGCTTTGCGCCATAAAACGCCAACCAACCAACCAGCTTTCACTAGTATTTGTGGTAATTCTATAAATGTATATAACTAAAGAGATAGAGATCCATCCAGAAACACTAAATCACGTAACCAAAGCGCTTTCAAAATGTGGATCTTTCTTCATCAGGAGAAAACTTGGAATCCCAGTATTTTTGTCTAATTGATTTTTTGAACCGACGTCATGGTGCCCAATTAAATTTATTCATTTTCATACTTATATTACATATATTCAAGGAGCTTCGTAAATTGAAATTACTGTTTACTTGCATATAATCTAACCACTTTTAAATTTTTTTGTTTGTTTTTGTTTGTTATTAGATAAGAGAGGGCGCTTAACGCTTAGTGTGTATGTCATGGTGAGGAGTAATGTACGTCGACCATCAAAATTTATAATTTGTACGTGAGAGCAAATATACCCCTTTTTTAAAAATTATACATCATCTGATAATATTTTAGTCATATTTTACTTACCTTTCTTATTAAACTACTCCTTAAGACGTGAAACATTTAACGTTAACACTCATACTAACTTATAGTAAAAACTTATTACTTAAAACTAAAAGTACTTTACTTACTAATAGTAATACATGTATTAACTTAGTCAAGTTAGTGTATGCAGGATATGAATTTACCATAATTCATTAATCGTTTTCTTGTAATATTGATCAAATTACATATTTATTGTAATTAATAAGCTGACTACAATATTTATATTAACTTCGAAAAGTTGGCTTGAACACTGGCAACATGCTAATACAGTAGTAATAGTAATAATCTGAGTGGGACAGTACAAAACTGTAACTAACAACTAAAATTATACTAACAGATTGAGAAATGATGGCTCATTTGGATATTTTATTATCTTTTTGGTAATACTGTTGTCTATAGCCTTATTGTTACAAGTCAGACACAAAAAATTAATAATTAGGCAGTAAAGGAAGGACTATTTTTAAAAGATACTTCTAGGGGCACTTAAACCTTTCAATTTTCAAAGAATATGGTTATTTGGGGCGATCTACCTGTATGAAAATTTTGTATAGTATATCACAGTAGTGTTCATAGTACAAAACTAGTGAACATTATGCTAAAGATGTAATTCTACATATCCTTGTTTGCTAACCCCATTTGCTAATAAAAAGTCAGTTAAATGATAAGTTCATGACTTGGTATAGATATGACTGCTTATTCAAACAAAACCTTCTAAATTAGTAGGCAATCATTTCTGGATTTAATCTGTTTCAAGTAGACATATTGGCTAAAGGATATTATATTATGTGCAGCACCAAACATATGTATCTTTATATTACGTGTTTGAGTGTTACACAAGATAAACACCATGTCTTTTTACTGGGATCTCAAAGGAAGGTTATACTTATCTATATAATATAGTGGGTGGTCTGTGTGATTATCCTTAGAAACCATAAAGGTTATACTTATCTATATAATATAGTGAGTGGTCTGTGTGATTATCCTTAGAAACCATAAAGGTTATAATTATCTATATAATATAGTGGGTGGTCTGTGTGATTATCCTTAGAAACCATAAAGGTTATAATTATCTATATAATATAGTGGGTGGTCTGTGTGATTATCCTTAGAAACCATAAAGGTTATACTTATCTATATAATATAGTGGGTGGTCTGTGGGATTATCCTTAGAAACCATAAAGGTTATAATTATCTATATAATATAGTGGGTGGTCTGTGTGATTATCCTTAGTAAACCTTAAATAAGTTGTAACTTGATATAGGTTTGATAG